AGACCCCCTCAGGCACCCACCAGGCGGTGAGAGGGCTCCCAGCAGCCAGTGCTGCACAGCCGCCATCGCCTCGGTGCGGTCAGAGAGCGTGTGCGTGTGTGAGCGTGTGTGTGTGCGCGTGTGTGTGTGCGCGCGCGCGCCTTCCGAGTCTGTCCTCTGAGGCACACAGAGAAGCACCCACATATGCCGCACGAGGCTCAGAACCAGCGCCAGAGGCGGACCTCAGCCTTTCCACGGACAGATTTAACCCGGTTGTGAGCCCTCCCCTCCAGCACGAGCATCCTGCCTGTGCTGCGGGGCGTGGCTAGCTGCCAGCTGTTAGTCAGGCTGCAGAGCAGCCTTGAGCTTGGCTTCCCAGAAGGAATGAGGACCCCCCCCCCCACCACACCCCGCACGCCTTTTTGTTGTTTAAGATGACACAGAGGAACTACAGCATTTTCACTTTGGACTCTGCCTCCAGCCCCTGCCGCACGGCCCTCGGCCTCCCCACTGACCCCTCGTCTGTAACCTGCGTCGGCGTCGGTGTCAGTGGTCGGTGTTGGAGGACAGGGACGCCGAGCCGGCTCTCTGAAAGGGCTTCTCTCCACTTGCTGCCCCGCCGGCCAGGACCTGTGTGTGGGCTCCAGGGCGAGGTTTTCTTGCTCTTTTCTGCTCCAGCAGCTCACGGGTCCCCAGTTCCCTTGGGCTCAGCGGCCATTTCCCACCCAAGAACCGTTGGAGGGTCAGATTGACCTCGTGCCTGCCCTCTCCCCGGTGAAATGCCCACCAGAGTGAACGTCTGGAGAGGCCAGCCAGCCGTGCTCTGTGGGCCCCACGCTGCACCCGCAGCTCCTGTGACTGTGGTTGGCGCTGTCTATAACACCTGGGCTTCCCCGTGGCACAGGAGGAGGAGAGAGGCAGCGTGGCAAGTCGGGTGTGTGGTTAAGAATGTGACGCATTTGGAGCCGCTCGGCAGCTATCTGGCCTGGGATGTGGGGCAGGTCACGCGACCTGATCTACCTGTCAGCGCCCATGTCCCGAAGCACAGAGTGGACACCTCCAGAATCCCCAGGCACAGAATGGGCACCTCCAGAACCCCTCCCTGAGCTGGTCTGAAGATGGAAGACGGTGCGTGTGAAGTCCCCGTTTGCTGGTTCTGTGTGTCGGCTGCTCACGGCCATTCAGCTGACGGGCCCGGTGAGCTCCGTGACTGAGGGGACAGAGCCAAACGTGGAACTGTGGGAGCCGGAAGTGAGCTTCTGCTCCTGGGACTGGATTCGGTGAGATTGGCAGCTCACGGAGAAGTCCTGGGAGCCTGTGTATGTCACTGACTGTGGATCGACCAGCATTTTTCTCGTGAAGTCTGATCACTGGTGGTGTCTACACCGGACCCCCTAACGTGGCACTGGCACAGGGCACAGGGATCAGGGAGGAGGAGCTTCTGTTGGGGGAAGTGTCACCTCGTTCTTTTGACAATATCTGCATTTCCCGCTTCCTCTGTGGGGAGCCTGGCCTGCAGCACAGCAGGGTGCTGCGAGGTGGGAGGAAGTTACTGTGTTCTGAATGTCCGGTGGATACATGTGGTCTGGCAGATGGCAGAGAGGTGCCCCATAGTCTGGGGCCACTGGTCCAGGCGGCTGCTCCTCACCCCGACCTTTTAGAGCTCACCGGGAATGAGCTGGCTGGTGCGGTGGTTGCGGCCTCTGTGAAGAGTAAGGCAGCCTGTTGGCCCAGGGATGATGGTTGCCCCAAGCTTTGAGGGGAGTGTTACAGTGAGGTATACTGGCTGTGTGGGTGTCGATGCCAGTTTTAGAATCATTTCGGTCCAAAGGGACAGAAACCCTCAAGTAACAGAATTTAAACATTTGTCTCATTCTTCATTCCTCTCAGTTCTAGGACCATTTGAGTCTGGGGCTCCCCTATCTTGCTGCTTCACTACCCTTCGTTATGTGGTACTGATGCTGCGAGGGGGCTGCTTGGGCTCCGGCCATCAAGCCTCCATTCCAGCCAACAGGAAGGAGAATCAAGAGGGTGCCTTTCACCTGTAAGCAAATTCCGGAGGCTGCCACGTCACACGCCTGCTGATCTGATTGGCCGGAACTAGCACGGGCACAGAGAACTGCAAGGGAGCGCGGGCGTGCGGTCACCTGTCCCGCTACAATGCGGGCACTGAGCTCTGGGTGCACAGCTCGCTGGGGCTGCCCAAGCGGACACATACTTTAGGATGGAATCAAGGCTGAGGCTAAGAATGAGGAGGGCAGACTGCATGTTTTGAAGCTCTGAAGAGCAAAGAGGGCTGCTGGAGTTCCTGTCGGAGTGAGCCCCTGGGTGCCAAAGCCGCCAGGCTCTGGGAGGAAAGCTGGTCCTATCTGGTCCCTGCGCTCCAGGAGCTGCAGGTGACGGGGTTGGCCTGGAGCTGCTGATTGGCTATTCATTCATCTGTGTGTGCGTGTGCATGTGTGTGTGTGTGTACATGTGTGTGTGTGTGTGTGGGGTATGGCTGGGTGGTATTGTATTGTAGCTAGGAGCACACACTCAGCAATGCACTCAGCAATGCATGGTTTCTGGGGCCATTCGGGACCCCAAGACTGGATGCCAGGATGTTCCCAGGAAGCAGTGTGAGGCACCTCCCATCGCTGCTCCGTCAGGTGGTTTGACGGAATCGAGTCTGCGGTTGGAGCTTTGTTCCGTCCTGGGCACCCAGGGCCGATGGCTGGTGCTGTCGTGCCTGGGGCCGTGCTGGACACCACGCAGTCAGTGGCCTGTTTGTTAATGACAGCGATGGGACAAGAGACACTGTCGGAGAGCCATTGGCAGAGGCAGAGGCGGGAGGGCGGGGAGTCTTCTGCCCGGAACACCTGGCCTTCCTCACTTCGCGCCGGGCGGTGTGGTGTGCCTACCCACCCGCTCGGAACCGGCGCCAGCCGCCCATGCCGCGGGGAGGGAGTCCGCGCCGCGCCTGGAGCTGCTGTTTTAAGGCCTGGGCTGTGCCGTTCTCCCCTCTGACTCGGAAGCAGCGTGCTCAGCGCGGGACGGGCCACTCGGTGGGATTCTGAGGCGCCGGCAGCAGCAGGGACACGCGCGGCCTGAGCCCTCGGGGCTGAGCCACGCTCCCCGCTGTCCAGCCGGGCTCGGGCAGGCCGCAGCTCGGGGGCTGGAGGGGAGGGTCAGCGAGCGGCTGTGGGGCGCGCCTGCGTTGTTGGTGCTTTGCTTTGTTCATTCAGCCGCTTTGGGGCGGGCAGCGGGTCTTAGGCTGAGGCCCCGGAACGCACTCTGGAGCCAGTGGACGGTGCTGGCGGTCAGAGCCACCTCCTAGGAGAGCGTCATTTTGGAGAAACACTTCCTCTGCAGCGTGGGAACCCGTGTGGACCCACAGCTGTCCAGCTGGGAACTAGGCGTGGGCCTCGGACAGCCCGCTGACCGCCCGGGGGTTCCCGGATGGGAAGTCTGTACGGAAAGGCTCCAGCCGCTGCTCAGCACGTTTGGGCACAGGCACCGGCGGCTCAGTCCCCTTTGGGCCCATAGTTGCCGGCGTCTCACAGCTGGATTCTTTGAACATCATCCAGATTTAGGTTTCAGATGCCTTGAACAGGGGTGTGTGTGCGCGCGCTATTTTTTTTTTTCTTTTAGCTTTTTGATACACAGATCACCTGCCTGCCTTTAGTCGTATGAAACTGAAAAGTCCCACACATGGACTCTAATGAAGGACAGAGCAGCACCCTGTTTCTGATCCCCTCCCTCCCCGTCTCCTTCCCCATCCCTGCGGCAGCAGCAGGCTGATGGGGGGGTGCCTCCCACAGAGGAGCGGTCCTAAGCCGTCAGTGGGACATCCCCTGAGGACTCCCGGACTGTGAGAGGGCGCTGGCTGGGCTGAGGGACCCCCTCCCCTCCCCTCCCCTACCCTCCCCTCCCGTGCATGAATTTTCGTGCCCTGGGCCTCTAGTGCTTACTGTAAGTTTCCTTTGTTCAGTGTGCATTTCAGCAGCATTAGGTGCATTCTCGTTGTTAAGCAACAGATCCCCCGAACTTGACCACGTAAAACTGAAACTACCCGTTACACAGCTCTCCCTTACCCCATCCCGGGCCCGGGCACCCTCGCTCGGCATTTCCCCTCTGGCCGGGACTGCTCCAGACAGCGCGTGTAAGTGGGACCAGCTGGTGTTTGTCTTGTGACTGGAATTATTTTCAGTCTTACTTGGCCCACCCTGGAAGTTGCTTGCTCTCTCCTTTTTAGCATCCTGTAAGCTCGTAATTGCCCGCTGAAACCGGAGTCTTCATGAGTTATTTCCCTTAAGGGAACAGGACCCTCGAAGCGCCATCTCATCCCTTTGAGGAGGGCACACAGGGAAAGTGAGGGAGGCATGGGGGGCAGGGCGGAGCCGGGTGCGCACCCCCCCCCCCCCCTGTGAAAATGCAGACGTGAAGCAGGGGAGAAGCCTGTGAGAATCTGGGTGCTGCTGCCCCCCGCCAGTTTTTGTGGCCGCTTTAAAATACAAAGCCTGTGGGTTCGGCTTGGTTTGGGGCTGGCTCCTCGAAGTTGCTGTGGATATTGGTGCCGTTTGAGCCCCAGGTCACCGGTTCCCTGGGCCTGAGCAGGCCGCCCTGCTTCCTGTGATGTGCAGGGCCCGAGGCTGTGGACTGGAGCCGAAGGGACTACAGAGATAGGGTCACAGCCACGGCCTGGGCCTGCGCTGTGGGTGCTGACTCTGTTGCTATAGAGATGGGGGATGGGGGATGGGCGCTGTCCTCTGAGCGCCCATCGGCCCCTTTGTGACCGGGAGCGTCTGGCCCGCCAGCCCGCCCCCCTGGGCCTGCTTCCCACGGGGCTGCCCGCTTTGTGCCTGCGTCAGAGCGCCGCCGGGGAGAGGCCCGGTGGAGGCTCCCATTGGCTCTGGGAAGCCGTGTGGAGGGGAGGCAGGAATGACTTTCCCTCCTGTCCCCCCACTGCGACTGGACCCCGACTTCCTCCGAAGCCCTGCCTGCAGCGGACGTGCGCCCTCACTGTGCTCTCTCCCCTCCAGTCCTCCGTGTGTGCGAAGATCGTGCAGCTGCTGGGGCAGAACGAGGTGGACTACCACCACAGGCAGGTGGTCATCCTGAGCCAGGACAGCTTCTACCGCGTCCTCACCTCCGAGCAGAAGGCCAAGGCCCTCAAGGGCCAGTTCAACTTCGATCACCCGGGTGAGTGGGGGAGTGAAGGTGCTGACGCCGGGATGGCGGGAGCCGCCTGACCTCCCGCTGGAGACGGAGGCTGCTGGGCACTCTGCGGGGTTCGGGGCGCTTGCCAGCCGGCAATGCGTGGCTCCCTAATTCTGGCGGCATCTGTCCTGATGAGGGCGAGGCTGTGTGGGTGAGCCAGGCCCGGGTGAGACCTGCCCGCTGTCCTGTGTCCTTGCCGCACTGTCTGCACCCGCACTGCGCAGGCATGCCTGGGGGGGTAAGCTCCCTGATTGGCAGGAGGAAGGTGGGGGTCTGGGGTGCCTGCCTGAACACCTGGTTTTTCTGGCCCATTTTAAACAAAGCCTGTGGGTTCGACTTCATTGGGGCTGGCGTCCCCGAAGTTCAGGTTCGCTCGCTGCGCCTTCGGCGGGGGTGGGGGTGCGTACTAAGGATCGGAGCTGTGGCCCGATGCCTGCCGCTCCCGTCCTGGGTGTTCCTGGCCCCGGGGCGCTGTCCGGGCTGGCATGCCCCGGCTGCCACGCAGGGGAACACCCCTTCTCAGAGCTCAGCCTCGTGCTGAGACACAGAGCTCTCGGGATTGTAGGGCTGCCTGTGCCCGGGGCAGGAGAAGTCACTTAGAGATGAAGGACATTAACCGTCTGGTCTCCTTCAGATGCCTTTGACAATGAACTCATCTTCAAGACTCTCAAGGAGATCACCGAGGGGAAAACCGTGCAGATTCCCGTGTACGACTTTGTCTCCCATTCCCGGTGAGTGAGTGGCGCCTGGGTGTCCTCTGCACCGGGCCCGGCCCTGTCCTCCCGCCGTGCCCCGGCCCCCTCGGGGAGGGCAGTGACCGCAGCCTGTGCGCCCTGATGAGCAGGGTCTGGGAGCAGCTGGGACACGTCCGTTACCGACACCGAAGGGGATGGTCCCTGAGGAGTCGCTGGAGCTGTCTTCTGGCCCTCCCTCCCAGGGCCCTCCCTCCTTCCTTCCAGGCCTGGGGAAGCGGCCGTTGTTGGAGGAAACCGAGAGCCAGGCCCCTGAAGCCTCAGGGATGCAGGCCGAGCACCTCCCTGCAGCCCCCTGCTCCTGTCCGCTCCCCTGGCCGCCCACGGCGGTGTTTCTGCCCCAGTGAGAGCGCAGGCCGGTCAGGGGAGCCCTGTCCCCTGCCCCGGCCTCGTGGGTCTCTGCTGAGTCTGCGGAGGACCCGGGCTCCACCGAGGCTCTGGCGCTGGTCCATGGGGTTCCACCTCGGGCCGGCCGCTCAGCCGCCCGCTCTGTGCGTGCAGGAAGGAGGAGACGGTGACCGTCTACCCCGCCGACGTGGTGCTCTTCGAAGGCATCCTGGCCTTCTACTCCCAGGAGGTGCGCGACCTGTTCCAGATGAAGCTGTTCGTGGACACGGACGCGGACACCCGGCTCTCCCGCAGAGGTGCGTGCGCGGCTCCTGCCGGGCCCGGCGCCTGCCGCCCGACGCTGGGTGACACAGAGGGGACGGGTCACCGCAGCGAAAGGCTGTGAGCTCACGGACACGAGCGAGGAGGTTCGCATCCGGTTTCTCCGGAGAAACGTCTGATTGGCGGCTCAGCTCCTGTGGGTTCCCACGGCCCCTCTGTCGGTGGGGACGGAGCTGAGGGTCGGACAGCTGGGCAGGACCCCAGGGGCAGCACCCGGTGCCTCCCCCGCAGCCTGCTTCTCTGGCCCCTTGGTTTCCAGAAAGCTCTCCCGGCCCAGGCACTGTCCAGCGGCTTCAGACAAAGCCGGTTGTCTGCGCTGCGAGCCTTACCGAGTGGCCTGTGGCCTATGGTCTGGGAGCTGAGCCCAAAGGCAGCTCTGGGGCTCGGGCAGAGGGCGAGGGAGGCTGTGTGGAGGAGGGGTGGGCTCGGCTGTGGGGGGGTGGCCTGGGGCCACCCACAGGCACACGCACACACGTGAAGACGCACGGGCTGTTGGCGGGCTGTGTCACTGATCAGGGTGACAGGCACACTGTCACGGTGGGGGCGGGGCGGGGGCAGCTGGGGTGAGAGGAGAGGGCCAGCGGAGGCAGTGCCGTGGGGAGGGAATGCAAGCTGACTCAGGCCCTGGGAGACAGGAAATGACTCGCTAGCCCCTCGGCACCGAGCAGCCAGTGGCAGCTGGTTCTGCCGAGTGCCAGCCAGAGCCTCCCCCTCGGCGCCTGGGAAGTGTGCCCGGTTGAGACATTCGCAGCTGATTCATTTCTGAGGTCTGATTGCCAGAGCTGCACCGGCCCCTTTGGAGGAGCCAGCCAGGGTCCTGCCCCCGAGTGGTAGCGGGTCCACACTCCGGCAGGTGACTTCTCTCCGGGGCGGGGGGCTGGGGCGCGCTCTGACGGACAAAGCAGGGCTCCAGCCGGTTCTGAGATGCTGGCGGATCTCTTTATGGGTAATCGGGAGACCTCTGGGTTGTAGGGTTGAGACTGGCCAGGTGGGAGTCGTGGCCTTTAGTGACGGCTGCGCCCGAGCCTGACACTTCCGCGTGCACCTGCCTCCGGGCCTGGCTTGTCCTTCAGTCACACCCCACCCCCGGGTGGCTGCGGGGCCACGGTAGCCCGCACACAGGAAGGCAGCGGGAGGCACGAGGAGGGACAGCCGTGTGGACGGACCCGAGCCCTGGTTTCCCCTGTGACCTCAGGCAAACGGCTTTCACCTCTTCAGACCCCGTGCTCCATCGATGGCCGGATGGCCGGTCCTCCTGGGCTGCTTGTGGCCCAGAGGAGCTGCAGGGGATGTGAGCGCGGGACATCCGACAGTCAGTGTCGTGTGTGGGTCTGAGGCCCCTTTGCCTCAGGGGGAGGCGTCCTCCTGTGGGGATTGGCCTCAGGAGGCGGTGAGATCAGACGAGAGAGTGAGCGGGCGGTGGAGATGGAACAGGAAGTCCCTCGCTTGTCCTGGCCGTTCTGGGGGGAAGCGGGCAGGCGGCCCCTGGGGTTTTGAGGGCTTAGCTCTCAGCCCCACCTTCCCTGTCTCCCAGGGAAGGGGCTGGGTCTCTGCAGGATCTGCCATCGTGCCGCCCCCTGGCGAGTCCCTTTCTGGTGCACTGTGGGACTTCTCGGCATGCTGTTGCTCAGATCACTCTGTGCACATGGGACACAGGGCAGCCCGGGAGGGGGCGGTCAGGAGCAGCTGCCGGGCACGGGACATTCCTGCAGACTGAGTGAGCTCCTGGCTCTCCTGTGTGTCACTCCTGAGTGGGCGGGGCATCTGTTCTGGATCATGCATCCCGGAAAGAGGTCTTCCGAGGGCGCCGGTCCCACCCCCAACACCACTGGGGAGAGCCCCTGAAGGAGAAGTGACTCAGCCACCGAATTGTATTTATCATGGTCCGGCGTTGGCTGCGTGGAAGGGGCACGTGGCTTTGGAAAGGCCTAGGTGGGCCCTCGGTGGGAATGTGGGTGGATGTGCACTGTCCTGCCCTGATCCACCCCCTCCTGGCCTGGCCTGGCACAGCTGTGCAGGTCACAGAGCCGGCCAGGAGCCGGCTTTGAGACCTTGAGTTCCCACTTTGCACCAAGAGCTTGTCCGGACTTGGCACTCGACTTTCTGCGTCCCAACAGGGAGGGCACGTCCCATCCAAAGAGACTGTGCCCAGAGGCACCGGGAGGGGAGGCGAGGCGGACGGGCCTTTAGACGTTCAGTGGCCCAGCGTCGGGGGTGGAAACCACAGCCTTTTCTTGTGTTTGTGTGTGTGTGTTATGTATGTGTGCATACATGTGCTGTGGGTATCCTGCTGTCCCTTCCTGCACTGCACCCGCCCCACCTCCAGCTGCTGTGCAGGCTCCGCTCTGGGTTGGTCTGGCCACTGCCCTCAGTTCACGGTGCCCGCTGGGTCCTGAAGCTCCCTCAGCGTGTCCCCCCATAACAGCCATGAGGAAGGGCTATCACCGTCGTCAGGAAGGGAGCAGATTCAGAGGCGGGAGCGGCTGAGAGCAGAAGCCAAGGGGGGTGGGGGGAGGTGGGGGGAGCGACTTCCCGGCTCTGGAGCAGATGCAGGGGGCCGCCTGTTCCCTGCCCGTTCCCCCGCCAGCGGGTGCCGGGAGGGCTGTCAGGTGTGGGGGGTTCAGGTCTGCAGGCCTGGGCTGAGGATGTGAGCACATGTGCGTGTGTGTGTGTGTGTGTGTGTGTGTGTGCGTGTGCACACGGGCAGGGCGAGGACGGACTCCTGTCCAGGAACGTGGTCAGCTGTGTGAAAAGCTCGTCTTGTGAAACGGCTCGGGCTTGTGCCAGGCTGTGAGGAAGCTGCCAGGTGGCGTTGGCTTTGTCCCAGCCCCGATGGCCTGAGGCTCCGGCTTCCTCTCTGGCTGGCCTTCATCTGGGGACGTGGAGGACTGGTGGCCGCTGCTGTGTGTCTTGGCCGAGTCCCACCTGCAGAGCCTGCCGGAATGCCCGAGGGACAGGCCATTTCCCGGACAGCTTCTCTGGTCAGGGGGGACAGTCAGGTCATCAGGCAAGTCTGGCCGGTTAGGGAGGACTAGTTAGGGAGGACTAGTTAGGGAGGATTGGTAAGGGAGGACTGGTAGACTGGTTGGGGAGGACTGGTAAGGGAAGACTGGTAGACTGGTTGGGGAGGATTGGTTGAGGAGGACTAGTTAGGGAGGAATGGTAAGAGGACTGGTTAGGGAGAATTGGTAAGGAAGGACTGGTAGACTGGTTAGGGAGGATTGGTTAGGAAGGATTGGTTGGGGAGGACTGTTTGGGGAGGACTGTTTGGGGAGGACTGGTAAGGGAGGATTGGTTAGGGAGGTTAAGGGCCAACTCACCGCTTATTCCCTGGGCTTACCTCGGAGGAGCTGGAGGAAGTGGGGCTAGCAGTGGTACCTGCTCTGGACTGTGGTCCTGGACACTGGTCCCCTCCAGCCTAGGTCACAGCCATGACACCCCCCCCTGCTCCCATGCCCCTCCTGATCATGTGTGTCCATGTGCGTAGGTGAGTGCAAACAGGATTGTTCAGATGTGACTTTCCAGAAATCGCTCACAAGCATTCCCTGTGTTCGTTCACAGCGGCTTCACCCCACACCCGGGCCTGTGCCCTGAGGGCTGGCTGGGGGGGGGGTGCTCCCGTGTTTGGGGATGGAGCGGTGCATGTGGGGGTTGAGGAAAGATTTCACAGCTCGTGCACCAAGAATCAAAGTAACCTCTGTAGGGAGAGGCTGTTTTTTTTTTTTTTTTTGCTTGTTTTTAATTTTTTCAGTTGACTTTAGAGCGAGAGGAAGGGAGAGGAAGAGAGAGAAGCATCCATGTGAGAAACAGATCAGTTGCCTCCTGAATATGCCTTGACTGGGGATCAGCCCTGTGACCCTTTGTGCACGGGAAGAAGCCCCAAACAACTGAGCCACGTGGCCAGGGCAGAGCGGGGGGTGGGGGGGCCGGGGGAGCGCGGGGGCTGTGACACCTCACCTCTCAGCTCACTGCCGAGTTGGGGAAACAGGCCTGGGTGGCCCGTGCTGTGTGGCAGAGCCCCTGTTCAGTCCCTTCGCCGGGCAGACCCTCTCCATTTTGGACAAAGGAGTCAGTTAAAAGGTGTTCGAATGTCCCGGCATCACCCTGCCAGGAGGCAATGGGCCCGGTGAGTTTGGGTCAGTCTGGGCTGCCTCCCAGCGTTAACCCACTGTTCCCTGCACCGTGGTTTCCTCATGGCTCACCAAGTTGTTGTCTGTTTGCAAACCTGGTCATGACTGAGTGGGACAGGCCGACTCTGCAGGGCCTGGATGTGAGGGGCTGTGAGCCCGGCGAGACCAGCGGGCACAGCAGCCGAGGGTCGCTGACGGCACACAGATGCGTGGGGCAGGAGGCAGGTGGGCATTGTGCCCTCCGCCAGGAAGCCCACCACCTTGCAGGCCAGGGTTCCTCCTATTGTGAGCTCCCAGAATGGCCTGCTCTTTGGCTGTTCACTCTGCAGTTTATTAGGTCAAATGCTGCTTGAACATTTGACTGGTCTGGGAGGACAGTCAGGTCGTCAGGCAAGTCTGGCTGGTTAGGGAGGACTGGTTAGGGAGCCTCTCCTAACCACCAAGCTGTGCAGCTGTGGCTCAGAGCCTCAAGCCCATCACCAAATTTGACTGCAGCAGGCGTAGACATGGGACTTGTCTTCCGAAGCTGCTACTCACCTGCTCAGGTCACAGCTCGGGCCCCAGCATGTGGCCAATCCAGAGGCTCTGGCGCCATTTCCCACCTGCTCCCCTTCTCTTCCAGTGCTGAGAGACATCAGCGAGAGGGGGCGGGACCTGGAGCAGATCCTGTCCCAGTACATCACCTTCGTCAAGCCCGCCTTCGAGGAGTTCTGCTTGCCGGTGAGTTGTGTTCGGTGTGTTTTGTTGAACGGGGGTTGTAAGGTGTAATCAGACGTGGGGGGTGTGGGCTGAGGCAGTGCCGGCTGCAGCTCACTCTGAGCCTCGCCCGCTGGAGGCCCGGGAAGGGCGGCCTTTGGCGCTTTGCATCTGACCCCAGGCCTCTGGTCGGTCCTCGTCGGGGCCTCGGTCCTGCTGCTCGGTCCCCGGAAGGTCTGCGTCTTGTGGCCAGGCTGCTGGTGTGAGTGCTTCCTTGAAGGGCCTCACAGCTCTGGGCGGCCTCGGCCTCGGCCGTGGGCCTCTGGGAAAGGTCCCTGCTGGGTGGAGTGTGTGCAGGGGGAATGGGGGAGGGCACACCACTGCAGGGTTTCCCCTCTGACCCGCCTCCATCACTGCAGCCCTGCCCCATCGGGGAGGGAGTCGTGCTGGGGGGCGTCCCCGCCCTGGCACGGCCCCGGCAGCCTGGCAGCCAGGAGGCTTTCTGAGCAGGAAGGCCAGGGCAGAGGGCTCCTCGGCTTCTTGGAAGACTGAATGCCACCAAGGACCGGGCGCCCTGCGTGAGGAAGGGGACTCGGGTGTCTCCGCCAGGCGGACCAAGCCCTGGCCTAGCTCCCCAAGGGCTTGTGACGCAGCTCTGAGGAGGGCGTGGGTGGGGCACGGCCTGGTCCGGGTGGTACCTGTGGGGGCCGGGGTCTGGGGGCTGGTGGTTGGAGGCGGGGAGGATGAGAGAGGCACAGAGTGAGGACCAGGTCCTGCTCGCTTCCTGGAGAGACAAGCTTCTCCGCTGCCGTTGTTCCTCCCGGTCCGCTAGGAGTAGGTCTTGCGTCAGACGGACTTGACTTTGTTTCCGATCAGGGTTAGGCCGGCTCTGAGTCAGCAGGCGTAACCTTGAGGATTGGCTTTCAGGGTTAGGTTTCTGGGAAGAGGGCCGAGCGGCCATGAAATTCTATCCGTCCGTCCGTCCCTCTGTCTGAGGACTTCTGCTCTTGTTCACGTAATCGGAGAGCAAACTAAATTTACCCTTGGACATGAATTAGTGTTAACTGCCATTTTCTGCCGGCTGACTGACTTAGTTGTGAGCTCAGAATTTGGCACAAACCCCCTGGGTTGTAGCTGCTGATTGGGCCCCTCCTGGGTGAGCCTGGAGCTCGGAACCGATTGTCTGCTTGGGTCAGGCCGAGTTGTATTTTCATCGTCCCAGTCTAGAGATGCTCATGTTTATGTGGTCTCACCCTAAACCTGGAAAACGGGCCACAGAATCTCAGTAAGTTAAATAAAAAAAGGGTTTTGTGCTAATTGTGCCCTTTAACAAAAAGTGTAGCCCAGCCAGTGTGGCTCAGGGGTTGAGTGTTGACCTGTGAACCAGGAGGTCACGGGTTGATTCCCAGTTGGGGCACAGGCCCCGGTTGTGGGCTCCCTCCCCAGTGTGGGGCGTGCAGGAGGCAACCGATCAATGACTCTCATTATTAATGTTTTTTACTCTCCCTTCCTCTCTGAAACCAATAAAAACATATTTTTAAAGTAAGTGCAGTGACAGGGCCGGTGGCCTGTATCCGGAGGCCTTTTCTGGGTTCACCTCAGGCCGCTGGCTGCGAAGTTCCAGGGGGACTGCTCCCCCGAAGTCAGAGTGTCACTCATTCACACTTCTCTTGGGGGTGAAGAAGCAATTACAGATTTGGTTTCAAAGACCACGTTCTCCCTGCAGGTTGTAAACTGAAACCACGTGGGACGTTCGAATGTGAATTTGAGGAAGAGCTGATTGTTTGGGATTAACGGATTGATTTTAGAGAGAGAGGAAGGGGAGGTGCTGGAATGATTGGTTGTTCCGTTTATTTATGCATTCATTGGTTGATTCTTATATGTGCCCTGACCAGAGATTGAATACGAAAGCAACTGAGCTACCCCACCCGGTCGGGCTGACTTATTATAACTTAGATAAAGCGGGTAAAAAACTTTATCTAAATTATAATAAATCAGCCAAGTAATGTTTTTTTACCCGCTTTATCTAAATTATAATAAATCAGCCCCACCGGGTAGCTGAGCTAGGTGGAGAGAAGGTGCCCAGTCCACACGTTCCCCCAGGGCGGCTGGGGCCGGTTTCTCTCTGACTCCCTCTGAGTTCGTTGTAAATATCTTCTTCACAGACAAAGAAGTACGCGGACGTGATCATTCCCAGAGGTGTAGACAATCTCGGTGAGTCCCCCTGGGGTGTCCTGCTTTGGGGCGGGCGTGGTGGCCAAACGAGGCCCTGCAGGGGGGCGGACCCCGGAAAGGAACGCCCCCTGCCCAGCGGCTGTGGGCACCGGCCCTGGGTTACACACGTGTGAATGTGGGCACACACGTGGACCGTTATTCCCTGGCCGGAGTCAAGGTGTGGAGAAGCCTTGCCTTCTCCTTCTCTTATAATTGATTTCAGGTTTTCTCCATTTAAAACATTTAATTCTTTGGCTGGGACTCTCGCTGTCTGGCTCCTGTTGTCCTCGGCCTGTCTTTCCCACAACAGTGACGGTTGTAGGTGGCCCGCCATCCGGGTTTGTCTGGGTCCCTCAGTTGGGGGGCTGAGTTGGCATGACCGGGACAGCGCCCGGAAGACGTGTTCTTTGCGTGTCATCGCAGAAAGCACTTGGTGCTTCTGTGTTTGAAGTTAATCATTTGCATAGTTGGGCTCTAATCATTTGCATAGTTGGGCTCTAATCACATGTGTCAAACACAAGGCCCGCGGGCCAAATCCGTCCCGCCAGGCCTTGCAATGTGGCCCGCACCGCGCTGTCATCACTGCACTCCGCTGCGTTTCCATCACAATGACAGTTTATGACTGTTCAGTAAACCATTCGGCCCGCGATTTAGGCTGGATTTTAGATTTTGGCCCCTTCTCTGATTGAGTTCGACACCCCTCCAATGGTAAGAAAAGAGAGTGAGAGGCCTCCCGAGGGTCCCTGGGCGGTAGGAGGTTTCTTGGGACGGCCACAGCCTGATGGTGCCATGTAGGCCAGGCCTCGCACCGCAGACAGGGTGGGGCTGATGGCTCTCCTGCTGCCCTGTGCCCCGGGCACGGCCCTCATTCCCGTGGGACCCTCCGGGGGTCACATCAGTCTGGCCCGGGGCTGGGGGGGCTGTTCCCTCCTTCCTGCGCACATCCCTAACAGCTGCCCGTCTCCGCCCCCCAGTGGCCATCAACCTCATCGTGCAGCACATCCAGGACATTCTCAACGGAGGGCTGTCCAAGCGGCAGACCAACGGCTATCTCAACGGCTACACGCCCGCACGCAAGAGGCAGGCCTCCGAGTCCAGCAGCCGGCCGCACTGACCCGCGCCCGGACCCGCCCCGCTCCCGGACGGACGGACGGACGGACGGCGGCAGGGGCGGGGCGTGGCCGTCTGCACACGGTTTCCTAGGACTCTGCTTATTTAAGAAACGACACGGGGAAGGAACGCCTTTGATCTTGAAATGGAACTTGACCCTGAGCTTACACGACGAACTGTGCCAACTACTTACTACTGGTGACGCCTAATCATGCCAACCTGTACCGGTTACAAATACACACACGTACATAAAAGGATCTATTTTTGTGTAAACGTACAACACGCTGTAAAGCTGTCTGCTGCTCAGTGTCTTGCAGGAGGGCCCTGAGGCCAGGTGGTCCTGGCGTCCAGGCGGGCGGCTGGCACTCGGGAGGTGGGAACGGGGAGCCGGGGGGGGGGGGGGGGGCTCGGGGCCCACGCCGAGGCCCGCCCAGTGCACTGCCTGGAGCTGCAGCTTATTGACGTGTTGATGAGAGACTTCTTTTTTTTTTCTTTTGAGTTGAAATTAGGCAAGACCTCACCTGAAAAATCAAACTCAGGGAAGGGGCCCTCTGGAGAGAGCGCGTCTTTGCGTCATCCCAGCGGCCCACCCAACGCCCACCCCTGGCTGCTCAGGGGGCGGCGTGGCGACTCCCTCCCTCCCCGTGACTCGGTCTCCAAAGCCAGGGCTGCCTGTCCCTCGTCCCCGGCAGGGACCAGGCTCCCGGCTCTTCCCAGGGCCGCACCGCGGTCCCCTGCAGTCGGGTGCTCAGAGACTTGTAGCAGAAGGCCGGCTGGCGGGGCCCGGCGGCTTTGTCCCGGAGATGTGGGGTTTGCAGGGAGATGGGGTGGCACGCACCTTCAGCAGCGACATCGCCGGCGGCATCACAGAGGGGCCGCCTTTCGAGGGCGGCCACGCCGGGCGTGAGGGGAGATGGGACACGGTGTTTAGGCCCTGAGCTGGAGTCCTGGGATGAGAGGCTTGGGGTGGAGAATCCCATCTTCCCCGGGGACTTCCTCTTGGTGAAATGAGCAGCTTTGGAAGAAGCAGGTTCTTGGAGTCTGGCTGGAGGGGGTGCGGGAAGCGGGGGAACAAGGGGAGGTCTGGTTAGAGTCGGCGCCCCAGCCTGTCGCTGCCCGAGAGACAGCCCCCCGTTCTCGGTCGCCCACCCTCAGCTTGCCCTCGTCCGCGGCTGCCCTGCCGGGGTGTTTTGCCCCCCCCCCCTCCCCATTGGAGCCTTTCAGGTACCCCTGCCATTGCCCCTCGAGCACCGTTCATGTTGAGCCCTCTTTTCTGTATGCGATTTGACTCTAACCGCTTTTGCTGTTTCAAACCCCCAGCAGAGCTTTGCCGCCCTGAGCCGGTGGGGAGACATGTCGGGCCCGGAGGGCGCTCCTGGCCCCGAGGCCGCCTGGGGGGGTCCGGGCTCCGAGGCTCCGGGCGGAGGTGCTGGGGTTTCAGAATCAGTGTTCACCCCCTTCCCGTCCTGCCTCGCACGGCTCCGAGGTGCGGGGTGGAGGGCAGCTGGGTCAGGTCCTCCCGCCGCGGGGCCCGTGTGCCCGGGAGGCCTGCCCCCGCCGGAGCCCGGCCTGTCGGTCAGCGGGTGGCACCCTCACCTGTACTTGAAGCTCCAGGTGCCAAACCATTTAGTGCCTTGGCTGTGGTCCCCGCCTCGGAAGGCGGCCTGCTCAGCTCCGCCCTGACGAGTAGCCGCCGCCTCGTCACCGTGGTGGGGGTCTGAGCCGCGGTGGCCGAGCGCCCGGTCCAGGCGGGGAAGCAACAAAAGGCCGCCCCGCCTCCCGGAAACACCGCCTCCAGTCCCCAGCGGCTCCCGGGGGTGCTGAGGACGGCCCGGTTCCGGGAGCCCGTGCCCTGGGCCAGGGAAGGAAGCCCTGCGGCCCAGCCTTTCGCCGCTGAGGCTGAACTTGAGCTCCCGTAGGACGAGTCCTGGACGGGCGTCCGAGAGCCGCGGGGCTCTGATCGCCCGAGAGCCCTGAGGCCACGGCCACGTCCCGGTTCCTGCCTGGGGCTGGCGGCGCGAGCAGTGGGCGATGCCGGTCACGCCCACGGGACCTGGGCTTCAGAGCCACGGTGCCTGCTTCTCCCTCTGCAGGTCCTCCCGCCGCTGTCCGCAGACCGGGGAGCGGGAAGCGGGCGTGAAGCCCGGCCGCCCGCGGGAAGGCCTGGCCCGAACTCCTCAGGCCCACGGAGCTGCCGCGGCCTCTCCCGTGGGCAGCCCGGTCCGTGGGGGCCGAGGTGGGGCCGAGTGAGGAAGCGCAGGTGCTGCCTCGGAGTCCTGCTGGGAGTGGGAGGCCAGGGGAGCTCAGGGAGGCCCAGGGCGGAGGCCGAGGGCGGGGACGGAGGCTCTCCAGCGCCCCCTTTAGGACAGGTCCCTGCAGTGCCCCTCCGCTCTCCTGCCTGGCCACTGGCTTCCTGCCTCCTGGGCTCAGCTGCACACTTGTCTGGTGCCAGTGGGTCAGCAGTCTCAGGCACTGGGTCAGGCTGCAGGCAGGTGGGGGGTGGGGGGCTGGAGCCCAGCTGGTTGAGGTCGCCTGAGTGCTGCCCTTCACCCCGTCCTCGGTGGAGTGGCCACGGGAGGGCATCGCTGGGCTGAGTGACTCAGAGCCCTTGGATCTCGCCGCCCTGCCTCCCTCGCGGGTGGCGGGTGGCGGGTGGCGGGTGGCGCGTGGCGCAGCCTCCTCACTGCTCTTCGGTGCGGAGCCCCCTGGGCAGGGACTTGGGCCTTTTCCTTTGAGACGCCTGCTCTCCCTCCGCCTGCTAACCGGTCTCGATTGTTCGCAGTCACAGGAATGGCCACATGCTCTGTACTTGGCTGTAAATAAAGACTGAACAGAAAGCCGCCTGTGCCTTCCTGTGTGCTTGGGAGGTCGGGGCGATGGGAGGGTGGGGGGCATTGGGAGGTGGGGGACATTGGGAGGTGGGGGGCATTGGGAGGTCGGGGCGATGGGAGGGTGGGGGGCCATGGGAGGGTGGGGGTGATGGGAGGGTGAGGGGCCATGGGAGGGTGGGGGGCGTTGTGAGGTCGGGGCAATGGGAGGGTGGGGGGCCATGGGAGGGTGGGGGGCATTGGGAGGTCGGGGCCATGGGAGGGTGGGGGGCCATGGGAGGGTGGGGGGCATTGGGAGGTCGGGGCCATGGGAGGGTGGGGAGCCATGGGAGGGTGGGGGGCATTGGGAGGTCGGGGCCATGGGAAGGTGGGGGACCATGGGAGGGTGAGTGGCCATGGGAGGTTGGGGCGATGGGAGGTCAGGGTGATGGGAGGGTGGAGGGCACTGAGAGGGTGGGGGGTGATGGGAGGGGGAGGGGCCATGGGAAGGTGGGGGGCATTGGGAAGTGGGGGTGATGGGATGGTGAGGGGCATTGGGAGGGTGGGGGGCATTGGGAGGTCCAGGCCATGGGAAGGTGGGGGGCATTGGGAGGTGGGGGTGATGGGAGGGGGAGGGGCATTGGGAGGGTGGGGGGCAGTGGGAGGTCGGGCCGATGGGAGGGTGGGGGGCATTGGGAGGTCGGGGCCATGGAAGGGTGGGGTCCATGGGAGGTCGGGGCGATGGGAAGGTGGGGGACCATGGGAGATTGGGGCGATGGGAGGTCGGGGCGATGGGAGGGTGGGGGGCATTGGGAGGTCGGGGCGATGGGAGGGTGGGGGGCCATGGGAGATTGGGGTGATGGGAGGTCGGGGCGATGGGAGGGTGGGGGACCATGGGAGATTAGGGCGATGGGAGGTCGGGGCGATGGGAGGGTGGGGGGCATTGGGAGGGTGGGAGGGGCCATGGGAGGTCGGAGCGATGAGAGGATGGGGGACATTGGGAGGTTGGGGGCGATGGGAGGGTGGGGGACCATGGGAGGTCGGGGCCATGGGAGGTCAGAGTGATGGGAGGGTGGGGGGCCATGGGAGGTCAGAGTGATGGGAGGGTGGGGGGCCATGGGAGGTTGGGGGCGATGGGAGGGTGAGGGACCATGGGAGGTCAGGGTGATGGGAGGGTGGGGGGCCATGGGTGGGTGCCGGGGAGGCATGGGAGGCGGAGGCAGTGGGAGGGCAGCGCCCAGCCTCCGTGGGGTGGACACGGTACGCACACTATGGCTCAGCCTCAGTCCCGGCCTGGACCCTGGTGATTTGCGGGCACCTGGGCATTTCTCTGCCCCTGAAAGCGGCTGCGGTTTCCGAAAGCTTCTGTTCCCTGGGCCTCTGGCTCAGCTCCCGCAGGTTCCTGTCACTGCCTTCCCTGGGCCAGTCCCAGCCCTTCCTCAGCTCCACCACCAAAACCCAAACAGCTTTCCAAGTTAGTGTCCACGTGGCAGTGGGACCGTCCCCCTGGGTGCCACGTGTGGCCGCCCGGAAGGAGTGCACCTGGCAGCTCTGAGGCCAGGCCACCAGCGGCCACAAGGCCTCCGTCACTCACCACCCGGGTTTTAAAATAACGGGCTCTGTGCTCTAAGTAGCAGCCTGGGCCCCCTCCCCCACCTCCCCGCTGCTCTGAGCTCCCCCTCACCCTGTACGCCCTGCCCAGGCACCAGTGACCCTCAACGTGCAGTGTCTGCTCTAACAGCCACCTGTTCTCTGACTGCGAGCCATCGAGGACCCGGAAGAGCCCAAGGAGTCTCCTTCGAGAGGCCCACCCCTCAGGGCTGCTGCGGAGTCTGACAGCCAGCAGCAGCCTGACAAGGGCACTAGGTGTGACTGACAGGTGGCCTGCGTGGTGTCACAGGTGGTGGGTGTATGGCTGGTTTAACTGATCCTGACTGCATTGCTCTCCTCTTCTCTGTCCTGGACCACCTCTGCCCTCTGACCCACCTCTGCCCTCTGACCACCTCCGCCCTCTGACCACCTCCGCCCTGGACCACCTCCGCCCTCTGACCACCTCTGCCCTCTGACCACCTCCGCCCTGGACCACCTCCACCCTCTGACCACTTCCGCCCTCTGCCCACCTCCGCCCTGGACCACCTCCGCCCTCTGACCACCTCCGCTCTCTGACCACCTCCGCCCTCTGCCCACCTCCGCCCTGGACCACCTCCGCCCTGGACCACCTCCGCCCTGGACCACCTCCACCCTCTGACCACCTCCGCCCTGGACCACCTCCGCCCTGGATCACCTCTGTCCTGGACCACCTCTGTCCTGGACCACCTCCCGTTGGGGGCTTTGCTTGGGACTCAGTTCATTGCTCAGAAGTCAGTTCTGCTCCTTGGTATTGGGGGACAAAGGCCAGTGAGGCCCTTGGGCAAGTTTGTTGCTCTTCCCACCCTGTCAGCACATCCTCTGCGCCAGCCTCGGTGCCAAGGCTCTGGAGTCAGG